AAATGTCTGCGTGGTGTTTGTTTAGTACCAACCATGTGCAAGAGGAAAAGGCCTGGTCTCTGCCTCCCAGGAGCCTATTATCCAGCTGGGGAGACAAGACACGGACACACATCACATTACAAGGCAATGTGTATTGAAGAGGCTATTTGTCTGCTTTAGGTGGGGCAGCATGTAGCAGTTTAATGATGAGAGAAAACACCCAGCTGGTTGGGATAAGGCTCATCACTATGTCCCCAGCACCTGCTACACCCTGGGTGTTTGATAAGTAAGGCGGGTAGGCTTTAGGAAGCAGCCACAGTGTCGTTCTTTCTACCAAAACCCTTGGTCTTAGCGTCAGAGAACTCCTGTTCTGACGCTGCCACTAACCAGTTATGGGAAAGCACCTATCCTTGGGCCTCAGTTGCCTAAGCCATAAGAATCAACCTCCCAAGAGGACTGCCAGGTATGCACGAGAGAATGTGCACACAAAGGCCACTTTGTACACTATCCGAAACTACAGACATGAAAAGAATGATTCTCACTGAGGACACACATGTCACTTGACTTGACCCCCAAAACAAGCCATGGAGTTGGTGAACTTCTGTCAACAACTTACAGAAAAGGAAGGCATAGCTCTTTTCCAAGGGAGTCAATGGCTTTGCCTGACGTTGAAGGATAAGCCACAGAGTAAGTAAGCACAGAGGTTGGGACATGGACCTAAGTGAGGTGATGACCAAGTCTGAGCTTTTGCTCCACTTAGGAAGATTATCACAGAGGATTAGATTCACTGGGATGTAAGAGGAAAGTAGCCGTTTTATGGCTGAGGAGACAAGGGTGCATCAACTCCTAGATATTAAGGATCTATCTAAACCCCTTGCAGGGCTTGACCAAGGCAATCCCTGATCCCATGTTTATTTTAAAAAAATACTGAGCATTTTTTCCATATTAAAATCTTTGCCCACAATACTCTTCAAAGCACAGCGCCAGGCAACATGACAGGAGGCTGATAGGAGATGATGTTTTACTCTTTGCTCCTAATCTCACTGCTGCTAGAGCCATTATGCCTTTATATGGCAGGGATAGAATCCACTGCTTTGTGGATTTGGAAGGAATTCCCATCATGCTAATTCCAGAACCTGAGGTACATCTGAAAAAGAGGTCAATGTGACTCGATTTTTCCCTCTCTCTTGCCACAGAAGGGTGTCTGCTTTCTCCATAACTTCTGCCGATCTCCACCACCGCCGTTCCATTGGTTAAGGGGACATTCAAACTGAAGCAAGGGCACCCCATCGGCCAAGGCTTCCCTTGTTATTTGACACAAACCTGACATTTGGCAGAGCAGGAGGATTAGGTTTCCAGCTTTGAGTGCCCAGCTGCCACCCCGACAGTCACCCGTGCCCTCTGACCAGAAGCAGATTCTGGATGGAGTCAGCCGGCCTCCAGAACTGGCCATAAAGGGAAAGTGGGAAACAGGTTATTGTTGTTGTTTAATGTAAGCTGCATAGCTTTTCCAGAAATGAGTCTATTAAAGTGAATGATTCGCTTTTCTTTATTTGTATTTATTTTTTCCCTATACCCTCTTCCACCTCCACCCACTCCCCTCTCCACCCCAAACACCACACTGTGGTCCCTGTTGATTCACTTTTCCTCTGAGGCCTTTGCTTTGACTTTTTTCCACGCAGACTCTGGCACTTAATAGCAGGTAAACAGGCAAGCAGCCCCACTTAGGAGCCCACATCTCCCTCCGCCCCCAGCTGACATGCAAGGGCAGCTGGGTCAGGAGGGAAAGGTCCTTTTGCAAAGAGCAGAGGAGCAACAGTCATGAGACCTGGGTTCTAGTTCATTAACTACAAGGAAAGAGCAGAAAATCAGAGTCCAAAGGCTGGTATTTCTTTCCTGAATCCATTTCCACCAGATATAGGGTCTTGGCTAAGTCACTTCACCATTCTTGGAATCTGTTTACTCATTCATAATAAAAATAATTGACATTTATTGAATATATGGTAGGTGCCGGGCACTGAGTTACTTTACATACATTAGCTCCTTCAATTCTGAAAACCTGAATAAGTAGGCATATAATCTCCATCTAAGACATGAGCCTGCTGAGACTCAATGAGGCTCAACTTGCTGCTACTCCACAGCAGGGGAGCTCAGATGTGCACCAGAGCTTATGCCTTTAACCACATCCTAAACTAAGAACCATAAGAATACCTAGCTATCGGTGACTCTGTGAGGAGGATGAAATGCTTGAACAGAGGCCACAGGTTTTCATGGCAGACAGCAGGACCTGACGAAAGATCATTTTTGCAGTATTTGTTTGCCTGGTCTTTCTCAGAACCACAGGAAAGCACTATCCAAACCTATTTGCTCATGTTGCATGGGATGGGGCGGCAATGATATTGCTTATCCTACAACCAAGACCACAGCACATGACTATTTCAAGGAAACCGGGGTGGCCAGGGAGCATTTATAATTTAAACATTGACATGACATGAACAGACAGGCCAGCCACAATGAAGCTCTTAAAAGCGGAGTGTTCATGGAAATGCTAGCATGTGTAAGGTGGAAGGGACGGTCCTGGCAAACAGCAGGAAAGAGCTGCTGCCCAGGAGATTTGCCGGAGGAAGCATGGATCTTGCAGAAGCTGCTTTAGCTCCCTGTGTTTACCTGGCCTGCTGCTACAAAGGGCATGCCCACGAATGACAGCATTTGATTCTTAGGGAAATCCCCACGAGGGAATTCAAACACCACTCTCATTTTACAGATGAAGAAAAAGGGGGCTAGGGAAACCAGAAATTCGCCTCATTCACATAGTCAGTGGGTGCCGGGGCCTCTGAAGATCTCTTTCCACTGCGCTGTGTCCAGGAGCATCTCACTAGGCAAGCTGGTCATAATCACATGGAAGGGGAGCCAAGAGCACCGGAGGACAGCCTTGACCCTGCACTATTCTTATCGTAACCGCTTCCTGGTTACAGTCAGCCTCCTAAAAGCATTCAATTAACTGGTCCTCCAAGAGTCAAAAACACCTGTTCAAGCCTTGATACAATTATTTGCCTCCTATGACAAACATCTTTTCCAGGAAAAGCCATTCTTCCTTGAGAACTCAACCCCACAGTCAATTATGAACAAATAGTAAAATCAGATTTTTAAATTCTTCATTTTCTGAACACAAAGATCCTTAAGTCCACCTTTTAAGAAACTACTGCAGTTGCCAAATGTACTGTTTTTCTTTTAAAGGTTGGAAAGAATTCTACTAGCCTCCCTTCCCCCTCCCCAATTTCAAACTGTTGATTGTGTGCCTGGTTTACGATGTTATTAAAAAACAAAGAGGGGTCTCAAAGTTTACAACCAACCCCCAGAGTAGGGAAGTCAAAAGAAAAACTTTATGAAATGTGGTTCATGTACCATCAGCAACTTACATTGGATCCCAAGTAGGCAAGATTAGCCAACTACCTATCCCCTTGAGCAGTTCATCTGGAATAAACAACCTCCATTCCGAAATCAGTCTGCAAGATGGAAAGAGGGCTTTGAAATAAGCCAGGGATAGGTATAAACCCCAGCTTGTATGAGCTGTAGACTTTGAGCTCATCATTAGATTTTCTGATTTTCCATTTGTATAATGGGGATAATAGCACTTATTCCACATGCAGTATTCTTAATATTAACTTCCTTTTTCTTGGCTTGCTTAAACAGGCCAAAGATAAGCTTCCAGGCTATGGCTAAGGCACAGATGACTCAAGGATCTGTGAGAAAGAATTTATGATCTTGGCAGACTTGATGTTTATTTATGGGTTTCATCCACATGGCTAAGGTTCAGGAGCAAAGAACAAACTTAGAGGAATACTGGAGATGTGGAATGGACAGCTGTGAAAAATGTATGACTCACAAATTGTATGACTGGATCACCATCAAT